TATAGACTGGTGTATTTTATCATTCCCTGTGTGGCATTCTGTACCAATGATGTTTTTTTTTACTTTTCTTTGTATTATATTTGGGTTAATTTATATTCTTAAGATTGGGGACCAGAACTACAGTCGAGATTCAATCCTTTATATATTGTCATAACAACACTTGGTTTTGCTCTCAAGTCCTTTCCTAATAATTCATAGCATTTGATTGCGTTTCTGATTGTTTTCTCCAATAAGATTAATTGAACTTTTACTGCTTATTAATCTAATTTTAATTTCTGTTTTTAGGACTAACTACTTCTAGCCAAATGAAATGTTTATATTAGGGTCTGTGCTAAGTACACTTAACGTAGCAATTTTTGTTCTCACAAGGAACCAGTACTGTCATTCTGGATGCCTTTCCCTTTTCATTAAGTAATCAATTTTCTGCATTAGCAGTATTATTTGTGGTAAACCCAGTGTTGTCATTTTGCTCTTTCTTGCCCATTTTCTTTAGTCATCACAAGGAGGCTTTGTTTGTATTTGGGGCAGATGCCTTGTGTTCTCTTCCGTAATCCCTGGATAGCTGAGTGCTTCCTTTGCTAACACATATCCTTGTGTTATGCTCTTAGGAACCTGACAGTGGAAAGCACATCTCAAAGCAGTGTCACTACATTTTCCTATTAAACCAAACAGGAATATATCTGTTCCAATGAGTAGGCTTTGGCATTTGACAATTACCTGACTTAAAAATTCTCCTAGTGAGTCACTGACAAGGGGCATGAGCAGGTCCGTGGCACAGCGTGGGCAGGGCCGAGGGCTCATGCCCAGCTGAAAATCATTTCAGGATGGAAAAGTAAGGATCCCCCTGAGCCTTCCCATGGCTGCTGCTCCATCAGTGCTCTGATGTGAGGCTGTGCACAGCACAGTGGAACTCAGCCCTGAGCACAGGCAGCCAAAGTGCTGGGGTGTCGAGGGTCAGTAACGTGGCGCTCTGACACAGTGTCCACCACAGTGTCCTCGGAGGGAAAGCTTCCAAAAAAATTTTCTTATGGTTGTTATCACCCACTGACTTCTCCATTATTTTCTTAATCTTTACTGATATGAAATAAAGCCTTCTAACTTTATATACTTTATGATATTTTATGATGTGAAGTCCACAATCTTTATAGATAATCACAGGTTTTTTTCAGTTTTTAAGTTAAGATTTCTAAGGCCTTTCTTCATTGTATCAAAGCTATTACCAGTCTCCTGAATTAAGACAAGGCCTGAAATACAGCATTTTTTCATCAGATCTTCATAAAATGAGGATGATTTATCATAGTAGTTCTTGTAGCCTTCTTTTGTCCTTTCCAGATTTTAGTGAGCAATGACAAAAACTTCCTGTAAATGTTGCTTTAATGCACATTTCTCAATGTTTAAAGCAGAAGTTCTGGTTTCCCTTTCATCTTTGTGTAGCAAACTAGAACAAATGCGAACCTCAAAGAGCTTTTGGAAATGGCTGAACCAGACAAGGAACATAAGAGTAAATCCTGTACTCTGCTTTCGTTGGTGGTTCATTAGTCTGAGCAAGATGCTGGTTTTTGCCCAAGCCTTCAAGCTGACTAATTTTTTATGATTCATTAAAAAGGCTGACAGATGATTTATGTGTAGAATTCTTCTGCATGAGGTGTGTGTCATGCTGGATTCTTAAGCCAAGGTAACCTGCTGTAGTGAAATATTTTGAGACACTCTAATGACTCATAATGCCTCTTATTTGCAGGTCGTTGATAGTTAATTAGTTTGAAAATGGAATTTGCAAAATGGCAGCCTTTTTTGAGAGAAGTGGTTGATTAAGTTATTACAATGGAATCTTTGTGCAACTTGGTCCATGAGGATTAAGGATGAGTAAATATATTTATATGAATAAAATATTGATTTCATTGATGATGATAATGTTGAGACTAAAAGACTTAATTCATAATTATTTACAACACAATACAGATAGTTATAACTACTAGTATGATGTACTGCTTTCTCAAGAAATATTGAAGCAACAGTATTAAAGATAGCAAAATGACCTGCATTCATGCTGAGTAATTTGGTATTTCCCAGCCTCCTGAGGTGATAATATGGGGCAGCCCTGACATGCTGCACTCCCTATGCAGTCCCTCTGTTTCAGGTACTGTGCTTTATGTGCCCTTGTCCTGAGAGCACTGCTCTCAAATGTCCCTTATTTCTACCCTCTCATCTGTCTTTCTGGCATCTTGCTCTCCTTTCATCTTTGCCCTTCCTTTCTTCCTTTGCCTTACTCTGGTGGGATATCGCCTCACTTGCAGTTCTCTGTGCATGTCCTGGTGAGGCAAAAGCAGGAACAAGGGTGTAAATGGTAGTGGTGGCAGTAATTCAAGAATATTTGAGTGTGAAAATTGTGGAAAGGCTCCTAATTCCTGTCTCAGCTGTCAAAACATTGCACAGAAGAGCTGTGGGTTTGTGCTGTGCCTTTTTTCATTGTAGGTGAAGTGCTGGGCAGGAAGTGCTGGCGTGAGGCACGGGAAGGAGCTGGGGTTGCCTTATGTGTGAGGAGAATGTGCAGGGAACACAGCTGTGACCCAGAGGGGTGGAACGTTTCAAGGAAGCAGTGTTCTGCCATATTTTGGTTATTCCTGTGGCAGTTTCAGAAGTAAACCCCAGAGTTTCTGCTGACTCTGTTTTCCCTGGGTAGTCCCTGAAATGACTGAGTAGGTACGAATCAGTGGTGTGCATCACTTGTGGTTTGAGTTACCACTTGGCTTAGGTAATACACATTATCACTGTGAAGTTGCTTAGTGGGTACTGGGGTTTTTTTTCATCCTGGCAAGTGGAGTGTGCTGTACATCTAACAATGGATATCCAGCTTATTTCACTTGCAGAAGACCTCTAAATTTTGCCTTGGCACACTCTTGTCAGTGACTTGAGGCTTCAGTGCTTGGAGCTGAACCTGGCTGGCGACTGATCACCAGCAGTGTTTCTCAGTGCTCAATTCTAGGGCCAGTTCTGTTCAATGGATTTATTCTAGATAAATTGGAGCATTGAGCAATGATTATTGGAATGAAATTGAGCAAGTCCAAATGCTGGATCCTGAACATGGGGACAGAGTTACTTCTGGGCACAAGTACAAACTGTGACAGGAGTGTCTGAGTGCCCTGCAGGGAGGGCCCTGGGGGTGCTGGGGCAGCAGCAGCTCAGTGAGAGTCAGCAGGGTGTGCCCGGGCAGCCCAGAGGGCAGGAACCGCGTCCTGGGGGCACCAAACACAGAGCACAGCCGGGCAGAGCAGGGATCATCCACTGTGCTCAGCACCGTTCAATGGATTTATTCTAGATAAATTGGAGCATTGAGCAATGATTATTGGAATGAAATTGAGCAAGTCCAAATGCTGGATCCTGAACATGGGGACAGAGTTACTTCTGGGCACAAGTACAAACTGTGACAGGAGTGTCTGAGTGCCCTGCCGGGAGGGCCCTGGGGGTGCTGGGGCAGCAGCAGCTCAGTGAGAGTCAGCAGGGTGTGCCTGGGCAGCCCAGAGGGCAGGAACCGCATCCTGGGGGCACAGAGCACAGCCGGGCAGAGGGGGATCATCCACTGTGCTCAGCACCCGTGCAGCCTCACCCGGAGTGCTGGCTGCAGTTCAGAGCCTCACAATTTAGGGATTTGAATGTCCTTGAATGTGTCCAGAGCCGGGGAACAGCAAAAGAATTTTTTAAAATCGGGCTCTCATCTCCATCAGACAGATTTGTTGGTACAAATCAACTGTGTTACATGGTAGCTTAAGCCAGGTGCCTCAAAAAAGGGATCCCCAACAAAGAAATTCCTGGGCAATATCACCCTTATGATCTAAACTCCCTATGCCTCAAGCAACAGTCTGGATCAAAAAGCATTATTGTGTGGGGTGTCCTCACTCTTCATTAGATCACTCTTTCACTACCAGGTGATTGCCGTGTGGTCACCTTCATATCCTCTTAGGGTGGTTTTGCTGAGGATTTTGATCAGTTCTGCAGTCCATGTTGTAATATGGTTGTTGCAGTTCATATTCCAACTGAAACAGAACAGACTGTTCTAATTTCATGTGTTACCTGAATTTGATGAAGATGTTCATTGGTATTAATCAGTGTATTACTGAATGGCTTGGGGAGCTGCTTAAGATGGTGGTGTTTTGGTTTTTTTTCCATCATGTGAATGATTTTGCTGGACGGCCAAGTCATTGGGGTGTGAGTCACTCCTGACCTGTGACTTTCTGTTCCTCAAATTGTGTTCCATAACATGCTAATTCTGCTTTGATGACACTTACAGACATGCTTTCACTTAATCTGAAAAATTAAAAACACTTCTCTTTTCTTTTGGCTTTGAATATATATTGGTATATCTGACCAATTTTCTCTCTATTTTTGGCTTAATCTTTGATGCTTTTATCTTCTTTCTGCTGCTGACTTGTGTGACTTACGGGGTGACTGTTTATGTTCTCGTATCAGGGGATTAATGACTAGCTAGAGAATCAGAATGTTTTTATTGTTACTGTGTGTCAGCCCATCTGTGTGAAGGATCTTCTATCCATTTTCCTGCAAGCCATGAATCTTGTAGTGTCAGCTGCTGAAACAATTTTTAGTTCCCCCAAGGAGTTGTTGGAGTGCTTACAATTATTCTGTGGTCAACTAATGAAGTCTGAAATGCTATCTATTTAAATATGTGGTTCTCTTTTTTCCTGTTCACCCTTTTAGCATCTGGTCTATTGAATATATCAGAGCTCTCTGAAAAACAATGTTTTAGTTTTGTCACAGTTGCAAACTCCATCCTTCTTGAGGTTTTAAGTTGCTTTTAGGTATGTACCTTTCTCTCCCAAGGCTTTAATTCTGAAAGAGAAACAGGACAGTGTAGGGCTGTCATTCTATGTATCTTTTGGTAAGCTTGCTACCACAAAATTGGTATCATGACTGTGGTTTACCCTTATTGGTTTACTTTGCTTTTACTACAGCTCTCCTAGCTGAAAAAGCAAAAAAAAAAGGAAAAAAAAAAAAAAAAAAGAACTCTGAAGCTGTGCTTGTACTTCTGGGTGTCTTCAAAAAAACACTTTCAAAAAAAAAACAAGCTGGGAAAACATTACAGTTAGAGGGAAGGTAGTAAAACTTTGTGTGAGATTATATTGGCAGGGCGGTGTTCATTTGCAAAAAAATTAGTTGATTTTCATCATTCACATGACCTGATGCATAGAGTTCATTGGTACATCTGTAACATCCTCAGAAGCACCAACACATGCATGTCCAGATGGTGTGGCCAGGATCACTTGTGTGCAAAGAGGATGACAAGGGGTGTAGGTTGTCAAGTCTTCATCATGCTGCTGGACTTCTTCATGGTACTATAAAGTAGTTTTTGGACAAATCTTTCATACTCTTCAGGAGTCACTGGTTGGTATGGGATGGGTCTTTGCTGTAGAAACTTGCTGACTTCAGGTTTTATAAATCTTGGACCAAGTTTGGACCTGGTTTTGTTTTGTTGGGTTTTTTTTAAACCTTTTTGTTGTTGTGTGTTTTTTCTTTATCTGAATGTTTGAAATGCATGCTTGAGGTCTGTTTTTCTATTGGGCCAAGAAGGAAAGGGGTTGTGTTTGTGATACGCTGCAAACTTGTTACCATCCTTCTGGTGCAGGATCTTTTGCTGATGAGTCATTGATACTGTCCTCCTACCAGAGTGGAGGCCTTTTGGCCATTACGTAAACAGTGTATTTCTCAATTGCAGTGCTGGGAATAGTGTCCTGAAAACAGTGTCCAGGGAACAGCATTCTTCATTATTGGTACAGCTGTGCTTTTAACCCTTGGTTCATGTGTGTGTGGGTGTACAAAGTCACTCTCTCTTACAGTCATGTGGCAGTTATGCCAATCCTAATATTTCTGTTAAGATTGGCATGACAACAGTAACTTTCAAATGGAAAAATAGAAATAAAATCTTAACAGATTTAAAAAAAGAAGAAACTGCTCATTTTTGTGTCGAACTGTATGGGCTGATTGTTGACAGCTGCAGTTTAAGAGGAAGAATGTACATTTGACATGGGGATAAATCAAAAACCTAACTTTCCCATGTTTCTAGGTCTGGCTTGATCAGGAGGCATTTTGGAAGGTTTCCTGTACTTAGCAGGCAGTGAGATCCTCTTTTGCCATCTTATTCCAAACTTCCCAGCTTGTGTATTTATTCAGTGGAACTGCAAGTACTGGATGCATTTTTCTCTGTGGAACTGTTTCTACATGGGCAGCTTTACTTCCTTCCTTAATAAAAACACTTCTTTGCTCTTGTGTAACTTTTATGCAAGCTGCAGCATTTTCAAGGCATTCCATGTATAAAATGCACATCATGAAAAATATTTGTTTTATAAACAACCAGTTTTCTGTAGAGGCCATTGAACGGTATATTCATATCATAGATGGCAGGCATCGGTTTGTTGAGGTTTATTTTTGTAAATCATCTCCCCGCACACATATTTGCCAGTGGAGGGTCCCGTTACCAGAATTAGCCAAGTAAATTGAACTATGAGTTCAATGATGTGATTTCATTCTAAGTGCTGAAGTCAGAGGTGCAGTCTGCAGGAGTATATAATGGTTTCTCACCTTGTTTTCCTCCTCTCCCTCCCTTCCTCCCTCCCTCTCTATTTACAGGTTATTCTAATATTTGTCTGTGTGTTGACAAAGGAATCTGTAGAAATTACTCCACTGCCATATAGAGTGCAAGTCCATCGGGTAGCTTTGGATGGAGGAGACCCCTCTAACCCTTTGAGGAGAGAAAAGAGACAGATGCACTGTCAACTGGGACAATACCTACACCCCAGAAAGACCCACTGCTGCATGAGGTGTCATGCAGGTACGCAAAATAAATACAGTAGTAGTGACTTTCACCTGGGAGGCATTTTCCAGTCCTGCATTCTCAAACTGTCTCTTTGCTACAGCTAATCAGCTCTCCCTTTGCTTGGTACTTATCCCTACCCAGATAAACTCTTATTCCTTTTATTTATTCTTATTCCTTTTCTCCTCTTATGGGCTGTCACTGTCATTCACACTGGTGAGAAGAAGCATACTTGGTCCTTATGGCATCAGTTCCAGGGTTTCTTTGAGGAACCAGTGACTCCTGTCCTCCCTAAGACACGGCATTTGCCATCCTGTCAGAGCTCTCTTAAGTGATTTTCTTGCAGGTACCTACAAGGCAAAAGATTGTGATGGGCCTGACCAGGCAACTGTCTGTCTTCCATGTGCCAATGGCACATTCACAGCTGTTGACAACACCATGTCTAAATGCTTCCAGTGCAAACGCTGCCGTGCAGGTGAGTCGCTGTCAGACCTGCAGGATCTGAGGAAAATGGGAGTGGATGAGGGCTGGAGGGGATGGCAAGGTGAGCGAGGGAGCTTGGAAAAGTAAGCAGTTGAATGGGTAAGACAGTGTATAGGGATGGACTGGGGACAGCAGGAATAAGGGTTACCAAATTGGAACAGTCTGAGATACAGTTAGCAGGCCTTTCTGGCCTTTTTCTGTGAAAATTAGGGGATGACAATGCCTATGATCATAACAATGCTCTCAGTGGAATGTGAAGGAAGAGGTTGGAATAATTTCTCCTTTCTTTCCTCAGCACTCCAGCAGATAGTAGAGACCCCCTGCACCCCAAAGCAAGATACTGTATGTGGCTGTCAGAAGAATCAGTATCAGATTGATTCTGAGTCTGAATACTTCCAGTGTAGGAACTGCAGCTCGTGCGCCGATGGGATTATTGCCAGCTGTGAGTATGGCATGGATATGGCTCCAGTGCAGATGTACTGTTGTAGGGTAGACTTTCTGATATGCTGCAGTGCCATGCACTGAAAGGATGGTAGTTTTGGAACAACTCTGGGGTTTGTCTGCCCTCTTTCCCCAGAAAGACTGCTATTTTTTTGCCTGCTCTGGCATGAATCCCTGTTTCCTATCATAGCTGCTTTCTTTTGTCCTTGAACGGCTTCTTGGTTTTGGCTGTTGTGAGGAGCTACTTTGTACTTAATTTTGGTGCCTCTGCCTTGCCTGTCCTGAAGCAAGGTCTTTATGTTCTACAGCAGGCTTCCCCTTGCCTTCCTTGTTTGTCTTTCTCCTGATGCTCACTGCATTTCCCCTACCAACTGCTGGAAGCACTTTGAGTACGATGGATGAAAATACCTCTGGGCCCTGTGCTCAGCTGAGCTGCTTATCAGTGAATTGCTGAGCAGCCACAGTGTTCTGTGCAGTGTTCCAAAGTAAAGAGCTGCTAATAATGCTGAACTACAGCCAGTGGCATTGGGCATTACCTTGGGATGATGCCCAAGGTGTCTGGGAGAAGTACTCATGTTAGCTGTTCCAAGGTGCCTCATCTCCAGTCAGGAATCAGAGATCTTAAACGAACACTGCACACTGTTTCCATGTCCCTTAAATGTCTTCTTTTGATGTGAGGACTGAGAAAGCACGAGTCAGTATTGGATGCAACACGAATTGACTTTATTTCCTTGAGAAGCTCTTTTTTAAGATTGCACAGGCAGATCTGACTGTGTGGCTGAGCAAGACATCACACATCCATTCCCTTTCACACGCTGACTGTTCTTCCAAATCTGCACTTACACACATTCCTCAGTGGCTGTCTTCCAGCCCAAGGACACACACTCCCCTCTCAACATCTTATTCAGCTGGTCATGATCTGTACCAAAGATACAATTATAGTTAATTTAGTCATTGTTCTTTAATTATCCAGCAGGCCTATGCTTCCAGTCCAGCTGTTCCCACATCTTACCTTGTCTTAAAGCTATCCTCTCTTCTTTGCAAACTATGCTGCTCCTGATCCCTTTCCCATCTCTTACCCTGCCCAGTGTGAGGTTTGCTGTTTCACTGGTGAATGTGTTCCCCCTAGTGCTCAATCATCTCGTCACAGTTTCCACGCTTAAGCCTCTCCTCAAGGGTCATGATTGCACACTGTCTTTGAGCAGCTTCCTTCCCTCTTGGCTGATGTAGAACTGTTTTATTCCCTTCCCTCACTCACCACAGAATGCATGCTCCTTGTTGTAGTAGATTTTCTCCTCCTCTCATGCAATTTGATGTCCTTCCATCACTGTTCTTGCCTGCTCCTCCCCACACTTGTTTTACTCAGGCTCTCTCCTGTGACTTGCTTAGAAGTGATAGTTCTTTCATTTCTTACCCCTTCCACTCACGACATCAGAAGAGAGCTTATGTGTCCCCTGACTTGAAGTGATTTCTCCCTGCCCTGAACTGACTTCCTCACCAGTCCCAGCTGCTCAGGGACCACTTCTCCCTCATCTTGGCCTGACTTATGTGGTTTCCCCTTCCTGTCATGCTTGAACTTGGGTGACTTTTACTGCTTTTTGTATATTACACTAATTCCAGCTGCTCTGTAATTACAGTCCCTTTCCAAGCCTCTACAGAGGTGTCCACCATCAGGACAGTGGCACTCTTATTACTTTTATCCTCCCCCAACTCTGTTTTTATATGTAGATTAAATCCTTTATCTCTTCTTCAGTAGCCATTTTCCAGGCTTAAAAAAGGATAATCTCTCATCCATCTTGGAGTGGATTTTTTTTCGTTTCTTCTTTGTCCAGATTATGGCAACAGTTTCTGGTTTTTTTTTTTTTTTCTTCTGCAGGCTCAAAGAACAAAGATGCCATTTGCAGATGTAAGCCTGAATTCTTCCTGTCACGTAGTAATATTTGCAAGCCTTGCAACAGGTGAGCTTTTTTACTCTGTGTGCCCCACCACTGAGTAGGAGAGACAGCAGGAGCTCCACAGGGGGAGAAAATTCTTCTCATGACTCTTTCTATCTAGGCATAACTTTACAATAGTCTAATTGCCTTTCTGGGGCAAGTAGGTCTTCACCCCCCGTCTCCTCCATGTAGGCAACAGCCCACTAAGAGCCCAAAGTCACTAGTCACACTGCATTGCTCTGCTTTGCAGGCTAATCTTGACTTGTCTGTTAATTAGGGTGGTTGGAAAAGGCTAGAGTTTCATTGCACGTGTGCTCACCTCTGATTCACCCTTTCAGCTGCACGGGAGAAGACTGCTTGCGGTGTCCTAGCCCAGTCGCTACCTCACCGACTTCATCTGGGCTGAGTGAGTGCTCAGGGGACTGAAGGGCAGTGGAATCTTTTCATTGTGGGGTGCTGTTCTCTTAATGCCTTTTGTAAAGGGTTATGTTTTCCACTTTGTCAAACCATTATCCTTTTTCTCCCTACCATTTGCAAATCTCCACTTGCTGTTCTTCCTCTAGCACTTACCTCCTCTTTTCTTAGTCACTCATGCATTTGCTCTCTTCCTTTTGTCCAGATGGAAACCTTGTACTTGGCACCCTTGTTGCAATATTTGGAGTTATCCTTGTCCTCTGTGTTGCACGTAAAGTAGGGAAGCTGGTCCAGAAATATAAGACAGTGTCTTTCTACTCCTGTGGTGAGTACAGCGGCGCGTGCAGTGATATGGACTGGGACAGACACCGATTTCTGTGGGGTTTTGTGTGTGCACGTGTGTGAGGGACAAAGTGGGATCCCCTTACTCTGCTCTGCTGCAAGGCCAGAGTAGCACAAGAACTAAACAGCCAAGGCTCTTGTTGCAGTTCTGCATCCAGACCTGTAGCTGTGACTGGAAGTGCACATGACCTTATTTCTGGGATGTGTATTTTGCTATAAAACATTTTTGAGGACAGGATTGTGAGTAGCTGCTTTCCTGTTTTCTCTGGGATGAGAGGAAGTGAAAATAATTTCTGCTTTCTTTTTTTTCTTTCTTTGAAGTTTCTTTGCCACAGACAACCAAGGAGCCGGTATCACAGGTGAGCAAGATGATGGGAGCTTACCTTCCACTTTCAAATATGTTAGCTTGGGATCTGGAGTAATATTTTTCCCCATGGGCTGTTTTCAGGCCTTGTATTTTCAAGTGAGCTGAGTAATAGGGCTGTCTAACTCAGAAGTCTTTTCCTGTAGAGGGTGGAGCCAGTAATGCTTTACTTCCCCTCTTCTAGAGCATAGTTTTCAAAGTCCTGGCTTTTTTTTTTTTTTTTTTTCCCTGGATGCATTTTGTTCAGGTAGTTGGTCCTTAATCCCCTTTTCTCTCTGTGTACCCAAAGCTTGGAGGATTTAATTAATTTTACTCCACTTCAGATCTTGACTCCACAAGCCTCGCAGTGCTGCTTCAGAGTATTCTCTCAGGTCCAAGGTAACTCTGCAAATAAGAGGGCCCAGACTGCAGCTGAAGTGGGGTTTCCACAGCCTTACAGAGGAGGCTGATGGGAAAGGTGGCATGTGGAGCTTCTAAAATGGTGGTGATTTTGGGTACCAGCCTTACTCGATTTTGTAAAGAAATACTTTTTCCTTGTTTTATGGTGCCAAAAGAAAGTTAAACTCTTTGGGTTCTGCTGGAAAGAAATGTTTGGTGTCCTCTGCTGAAACAAGGCATGTAGGAAGGAGTAAAATCTCAACACCCACTCCCCATCTATCTTAGATAAATTTTAGCATATAAAGCTAGTGGTTACTTGCAGGAGACAGGTGTATTGTGTTGCTGTGGGTAATTCTATGTAATGTGTCTTTCAGGTTGAGGAAAAAATAAATGAAATTTCCACCCTTCATCCTGAGTCCCAGAAGGAAACAGAATTGCCATTAAAGGCAACCCTATCATCTGCACCCCTGCCACAGAGTTCACATGAGTTACCAGACTGTGTCAGACCTGCCAGGAAGACACAGCTTCCAGACAGTAAGTGAAACTCCTCCATTCTTCTCTCCTTCCCCAGTCAAATGGGAACCTAATCATGCAGATGCATCTAGGAGTATGCTGGACAGACCTTACCTAGTGTTTGTGACCTGGATATGTACCCATGGCACAGTAGAAAGGCAGAAGCATGCCCAGAGCCTGTGAGTGTGTATATGCTAAATATTTGTGCAAGGCCTTTCTGCTGCCCCTTTTCCCTACCAGCAAAATGGATTGTCATATGTATTGATATGCTGTCAGTCTTCATGGCTCTGGGGTGACCCAGAATAATTTCAATAATTCATTCTTTTTCAAGAATGTATGGCAGCAAGGTCCTAAGTAAATGTGCTTGACTCTGCTCATAGCCTTATACAAGAGCATACAAAAACATTCCCATTACATTTTGAGGGACAAGAGCAAGTCTGGAGTCTCTATGATTACTCTGGAGAACTGGAGAACACTTGAACAAGAGGGGGCAATGCAAGATAGCAGGACAACCTCCAGCCCTGGATTATTCACATTCTCCTTGAGGCCGAAGAATCTTGCTTCTCAGCGTTTTCCCTCTGTGTTCACAGACCCTGCTATCCTGTACACCGTGGTGGATCACGTGCCGCCGTCGCGGTGGAAGGAGTTTGTGCGGCGCCTGGGCCTGAGTGACTACGACCTGGAGCGGATTGAGCTGGAGCACCGGCGCCTGCGAGACGCCCAGTACGAAATGCTCCGACTGTGGAGACTGCAGCTGGGCCGTGCTGCCACTGTGGAGCACATCAGCTGTGTTCTCAACCAGATGGAGCTCAGTGGCTGCAGTGACGCTGTTCAAGAAGCTTTGCTAAACCAGAACTCTCCTCAACCGTGCAGCCTCCACAACCACCTTTAATCTACTTCTGCTTTAGCTGCCTTTGACTATTAAGAGGGGATCATAGCTCTCTTTCTTTCCTCATATCTCCCCATCTTTGTAACACTCGTCAGCTGATTTTGTTGGAGACAGCAGCAGGTTATGCTGGAGGAAGGCTGAGGTTTGCTTCTTAACCACCACGTAGTTCAACCTTTAAGGCATGGCAGACCTCCTCAACACCTCCTCTCCCAAGGAGGGGAAGCACCTCATAAAGGAAGTGGTGAACTCTGACCAAGATGCAAAGAGGAGCTCTGAGTGACTTGATCATAGATCAGCTTCTAGGGACAAGTTGTTGCCGAAACAGGTACTCCACACATCGTGTGGTGGGTAAACTTGTAGGGTGCTTTGGTTAAGCTGACTGTTCAGATGTTAAAGTACTCACTCACTTCTTGCAGATCTATTTTTCTGCGAGATCAACCAGTTGAAGTGGCTCATATTGCAGCCTTTTGATTGCTAAATCTGACTCAGAGGAAGTGGTGGGAGGATGTGCCTATTTCTGGGAGCAGGAGAGGATTGCCCTCTCTCGGTAGCAACTAGTAGGTAGGGCTGTAGCAAGACTCCTGGAGATTGAGAACTGGTTCTCTCTGCGAGGAACGGGATGACATTATCCTTTCCACACCATGTCCCTCAGGTTCCAGAAGAGTAAGAATTCCAAGCCAGTGAGTCAGATGAGAGGGTTGGTGCTTTTTTCCTCAAGTTTTTTTTTTCTGTATCTAGAAATCATGTAAATTAGCATTAACAAAACACCTGCCTGTGTGTCTGTCCAAGTGCAGGGTGGCAAGGAGTGTGTGCATCTTCCTGGGGGAGGTGGTACCTATGCATGAGCACAGGTAGCACGAGCACCTCTGCAAATCTGCGCTGGCACACAGGCTGGTAGGCTTGTGTCTACCTGCTTATCTACATATGGATGATTCCATGAATCTAACTGCAAATGGGACTGTGTACGTGTCTGTACAGATATTTTAGCAACTGTTGAATAACTGCACACTACTTCTCAGACTGTGTTCTGTGATTGCTGCTTGGCTGTGGGAGCCCTTCGGTACCATCTCCAGGCTCTCCCCATCACTTTCTCACCGGAATTAACCTGGGAGAACCAGATGTAGAAAAATGCAACTAGCCTGCACCAGGTGCAGGGTGTCCACATGTTTGTAACATGTGTTATTTCAGTCTCTGATCCCTTTATCAGAGAGGAACCTTCTATTGTAAATACACTAAATGTTCTGAATTAAAGTGAATATTTTTACCTCTGTTCTGGTTTTGCTTATATCAGCTTCTTTTCTGTGACTGTGGCTGGGGCAGAGGAAGGGGAATAACTTACAGAAGTGTCAAGAGTGGATGGCTTGGTGGTCTTGTATATATATTTTTTTTAAACCCATGTTTTATATATTTTGGTATGCAAAACTTAGCTGACCTCACATCACAAGAAGCTAGCTGAGGGCAGGAAGTAGGCAGGATGTAAATGAAATCCAGTTGCAGGTCTTCTCAGATATTCAAGAATATGAATGCCAGCACATTTAGAGTGAATTTTTAAGCAATATACAATGAGTCATTTGGATTTGTATCTGGCTTTTTTAAACAGGAAAGTATCTTTAAATAATAGGTTATACTTTAATGTTCATCTTACATGTTTTTGTCTGATGAACCAGAGCACTGTGTTAAATAAGGAAGAACTACTCCTATTCTACTTGAAAGTTTCCTACTTGAAACATGGAAGTTCCTGACCGTCAGTGACAAAGCCAGGAACTGACATCAGTTTGAATTCCCACTTTGAGGCTTTGTTTTGCTATGCCTACATCCTATTTTAATTGGGGATGATATTGTTGTTGCTTTGGGGTTTTTTTAATCAGAGGCAGTACAAAGCTCACTGTAACACACTTTTTCTTTCATAATTTATGTTCAACAAGCACAAGAGTATGATAATTACTAGAGGTCCCAGGCCACTGCTTGGTTGCCAGTGGCTTTGTTAGCGTTTGGGAGCACACGTAACCACAGACAGATTATGTGCAGGTGCTTTATTGAGGTGTGCAGGAACTGGGGGTATTAGCAACCCAAATGCAGGTCTGTCGTTTTGTCCAAAGTGCACATATTTATACCATTCCAGCTGTAGCACTAATCGCTATAACAGCCTTATTGATATTGCTTCACTAGAGCTTAGCCCGAGCTTGTATGAACATGTATGTACAAATCTTATCTATATAAATATCTTAGAAACTCCAAATACTGATCCCCATTACTATAAACATTCTAGCTTGTTAAATTATCCCAAATACCAAGCATTCTTTCGGCCTAGCTTCATGCAGGAATTTTACAGAAATTCATGGCTATGAGGTGTCTCGGGGAATGCTGAAGATTCCTTCAAGGTAACAAAAGTGACTTGGGTGGGTAATGTATGTGAAGATGGGAGTGGAGGCTCCTCATGCTGCTGCATGGACAGAGCAGCCCCCAGACAAACACAGCTGTTCATGTAATTTCATTTATTTGTCTTCATTACTCATTGAGTATCTAACGCTGAAGCGATGATGCCTGTATATAGAACATTTACATTTTAACTGTATGGGGCTTCTGAGAAGCTGGAGAGGGACTCTTCGTCACTGTTGTGATAGGGCAAGAAGTAAATTGAAATTTAGGGGGGAATTTAGGCTGGGTATTAGGGAGGAATTCTTTGCCGTGAGGGCGGTGAGGCACTGGCGCAGGCTGCCCAGGGCGGCTGTGCGGGTAACCATGGCCACGTCCAGGGCCGGGCTGGATGGGGCTTTGAGCAACCCGGCCCAGAGGGAGGTATCCCTGCCCTTCGCAGAGGGGTTGGGACTAGATTATCGTTAAAGTCCGCTCTAACCCATGACACTCCAGGATTCTATGGAACCGCAGCGGTCACTTCTCCGCCTCAGCAGCGGCACTGCCCTCGCCGCGGCGGCGGGCGCTGCTCCGATACTGGCGGCGCCCGGCTGCCCACCCCCCGCGATCCGCCGCGTCTTGGTACGGCCCGCGGGGCCGCGGTGCGCGCCGGGAGCGGGCCCGGTCAGCGCGCGGGGGTGCGGCTGTGATCCCGCGCCGCGCTCCCGCCGCTCCGGCACTTCCCGGCGCTTCCCGGCACTTACTTCCCGGCCCGCCATGGCCCTCAACAAGTCCATGCACGCCCGCAACCGCTACAAGGACAAGCCCCCCGACTTCGCCTACCTGGCTGGCAAGTACCCCGAGTTCCAGCAGCACGTGCAGACCACCCTGGCGGGCAGGGTGAGGTACGGCCGGGCGGGATGGGGCGGGTGGGTGCCCCCGGTGTGTCCCCCCGGTGTGTCCGCCCCCGGGCACCCCTGAGAGCTCCCCGTGTGCCTTTCAGCCTGAACTTCAAGGATCCCGAGGCCGTGAGGGCTCTGACGTGCACCCTCCTGAAGGAGGATTTCGGGCTGACGATCGACATCCCCGTGGAAAGGCTCATCCCCACCGTCCCTTTGAGGCTGAACTACATCCACTGGGTGGAGGATCTCATCGGCCACCGGGATGCCGACAAGCAAACCCTGAGACGAGGCATTGACATAGGTAAAGCTAAATGTTTAAGTTCTTATTTACCATCAGAGATAGCAGCTGATAGAATTTGTTGCACAGGAAAACGTCAGGTTTGAGGAGCAGAGGGATCTGATGTGTGCTCGCTGTGGTGGGAGGCAGCCGGAGCTCCACAGGTGTTTCATGGCCCTTCTGGGTGGGCAGCGTTTCTCTGCACAGACACAGAACAGCCAAGGCACGCAGTTATGTGGCTTTTCAGGGCCTTGAACTCACTTGAGTGCAGCTTTGTGCAGTGTACAAAAACTGTGCTGCTAGAAATGCAGGCAAAAATGTAATTTTAAAGGATCTAAAAAGTGTTTCTTCTCAGTGTTCTAACTAGCAAATTGTGTTTTCTTCATAATTTATTAATTTTGCTTTTGCGAAACTGTCTCTCTGCACCAGAGAGTTTGTGAGTTACATAGCTTTTTTTTTTTTGCTATTCCACTTAATAACACTTAATTTTTTCCTGTTGTTACAGGTGTATTTGACATAAGTGAATGATCTGTCCTTTTTAAATTTCAATTTTTATTTTAATTTATTTCAACGCAGTTATATATGTGAGCTGAATTGTAAAAGAGGCCAAATTAGAAACCAGGGCAAATGCAAGCTAAGCTGTGTTTTGCTTGTAGATGGTCAAAGATTTATTGTTTATTGTTGAGAATAAAATGTCTTTTAAGTTGGACCAAGCATCAACAGATAGATGATACGGTCCACTTTCAGTCTGGATTACTGGGTAATATCTGGATGATATCTAGGTTAGGCAGCAGATAAATGTGAACAGCAGAGGTGTGAATTTATAAGATGTACACTGATGGCCATAATTTGGTTTTCATTGGAAATAAAAGAAAGGCACACTCCATAAGAGCTTCCACACACAAATAATAAAATTGGCATTTGGATTCCCAGTCTTTGGTTATTCTGTATGAATTATTTAAAAGGTACTAGTGATAGTACATTTGAATTTAGTTCATATCTTTCATTTTGTCAATAGAATCTTCCTTTGCAGTTTCAGAGTCTTGATTTCAAACACTGTTTTGTGCTGAAGAAAACTTAGAATGAAATTTAGAGAAGTTGGAATTTCCTTTGTAACCTGTTTTAGTGCTTGACATTAAAACTTTAAAGTTACTGAATTCCTCAAAGCTGAGGTTCAGTAATCTCTGTTACTGTGTCAGATTTTATGTTTCTTGGCATCTGCTAGCACAACTTTTTGTAATGGGATTTTTTGTTCTCCTGAAATTTACTGACTTGTATTTTTAGCTGGAACTGTGCTGGATACTGCGTTTGCGTCACCACATGTGTGTCCACAGCAGCTTTCTTCTAGTAACTCTGACATTTCTTAGACAGCTTCTGTGCATTTGATACTAGTTTTCATTTCTGAAAATGATTTCTATGAACTTCATCACAGTAGGTGGCTGAGTAGAAGAGACAGATCCTCTAAGTCCTCCACATACTGCAAAATCTTCAGTTTGAGTTTGCATGAGCTTTGATGTTTCAGCTTTGGAAAAGCAGGAAGTCATCCAAGAGGAACTTGACAGAAGTGCTAGGCAAAGTGAAGCTTTTTGCCTACTGACAGATGAAGTTATTGATGGTTCAATAAGTCAGTGTAACAGATTCTAAATACATGTCTAAACTCTTAGTTTTGTGGGGGTGGCATGTCTTTCCCTTTTCTTGTATCCATTTCCTTTAATCCTAAATTTGGTTGTCATTGATAATTTGATCATCTAGGTATGCCATAATTCTTTTTTACTAGCATCTCTCTCTTTTTTACCAAGTGTTTATCTGTCTGTCTCTGTTTTTGAATATGTTAATTGACACTTGGGTTTCTCAGAAAAAGGCAGTCTGGTGGAACAGATTTTTTTTTTTTTTGTGGTTATTGTATTAATCAAAGTAAATTATTTGTGATAGATAGAAAAGTGCAGAAGAGAAATTTATTTCTGGTAGGGTTTTTGTTTTAGTAAAGCCAGAATGTATTTGGCTTTCTTTATATAAATTAACTATTGTTATATGGAAGAAAAATAGCTTAAACTGAAGCTGATAGTTTACTAGAAAATTTATAACAGATTATTAAATTTTTTCTTTTATTAAAAGTGCATATTTGACAATGCTATTTTTCAAATTACAAAAATTAAGTTCACTAAAGAATTGAGTTGTAGATGATCAATAATCAGCATTTTCTTGAAGTTAGTTCTTTTTGGTGTAATAAGTACATAGTTAACAGCCACACTGTGTATAGCACCAGTACTTACTTTGCCTTTTTCATGGATTTTCCCTGCTGCAGGGACAGGGGCATCCTGTATATACCCATTACTTGGAGCAACTTTGAATGGCTGGTATTTCCTTGCAACAGAAGTGGATGACATGTGCTTCAATTATGCCAAGAAGAATGTGGAACAGAATAACTTGTCTGATCTCATAAAAGGTACAATGTAATAAGGTATTTAGTAGCATATGAATGTTGTGGCGTATTTTTGCCATGTTCAGTGGCATATCAGAATGTGTATTCCTTCCAAATACATGCTCAATTATTTTTACTGGAGCAGAATATTTATTGAAGTCAGTATATGCTTAAGCCAAAAAGCTGCCTTACCTAGCCTGGGATGTGTGGGTAGAGAAGTACTCTTCCTTATGAAAATCTGAAAGTTAAAACTTCACCCTGGGGGGTTTTACTCTGTGTATTCCTTGTCTGTTACTGAAGTATTTCTT